TTTCCTTGGACATGCTGTAACTTAAAATGGAACATTAGACATGCGTCAATCCATCTGTTGATGGTTGCATTCGGTCNCATTTCAGGGTTTCGAAGCATACCAGACAGGTATTTCGCGTCTGTTTCCACAATTAGTTTTCGACATCCTAGAAGCCAATATGATGCAGCTTGTAAAGATCGCATTAAACCAAATAATTCTCTTTTTGGTTGAGAAAATCGAGCTTCTCTATCATTCAAAGTTATAGAACCGAACCTGGCATACTGCCTAAGCCCAGTCGTATGGCTATCCTGATATATGTAGAACCCAACCGCTTTCCAAGAGGTGTCTACAGCTAGTACCACTGGGTTAGGATTATTTTCGTAATCCAACGGCACGAGCGCTTTACTTTCGCGAAGTGAGGATTTCAATTTGTCCATAGACTTTTCTTGTGCCGGTCCCCATACAAACGGAGCTCCCTTTTTGCATAAATCGTTGAGAGGTTCTGCTTTCTTTGCAAAATTCTCAATAAACATTCTGCAGACCCCTACAGTTCCTAGAAAAGCCCTGACATCATGTAGGTCTTTACAAGGTCCCCAAAGATCTATAACTTTCATTCTTTCAGTTTCCGGTTTTCTGCCTTCATAAGTGCATAGGTGGCCTACTACTGTTATTTCAGCCGCACAAATTACCGACTTAAATCCCGAAAAGGTTCCTCCAGCATATTTCATCCTATGAACTACCCTGTTAGCATTTTCGAAGTGTTCCATTATGAACCTTCTTATACCGCTATTTTCAGGTATAGTCTCATATTTTCCATCTGGCAACTCATACCTTGTTGCAGGCCCTCTGACAGGCACATCATCAATATATGGTACAGTTACTTCAGGAATTTCTTCTTGTAAAATATACGTAACATCATCATGGAAAATTGGAACGGAATTTGTCCAACCCATGGGTAGAGTGACAAGCCTTAAAGCTCCAAAAGGTGTTTGAAATGTAGTCAGATCCCTGGAAGTTTCTGCCAAGAGCCTTTCATCATATCCTACGTATAAATCAAACATTCCTCCACAAGCACGACCAGCGAAATGCGTAGCAAGTGCATCGGTTGCCGGTGGTAACCCTGAATGCGCCATAGTCACTGCATTTAAAGGTTCCAGGCTATGTACAAGCCTCAAACTTTTTCCATCTTTCTTTAATACACAAAACCATCTTGACCTATAAGAAGAATTTGAGGGTTCATATACCCCAGCATCCAATTTGGTCTTAATAATTCTGCACACTTCTTGATAAAGTCCAGGAGGTATTGGA